AGAAGTAGATTGCCCCATCTTTCTTCCAAGGAGTGGCTGGGGGGGTTGAACCCGCCAGCCTTCTGGTTAGCAGTCAAGTGCCTTAGGCCCTATGCTACCAGAGCTCCTCCTCCTACTCCTGTTGTTGTTGTTGTTGTTATGTGCCGTCCAGTCGGCCCCGACTCATAGCAACCCCTCCTTGGGTTTCCGAGGCAGTATCACTACGGAAGTAGGATTGCCCAACCTTCCTTCCTACTCCTAGTAACCAGTAATAATCTTTAGTTTCTCTCTATAGATTTCTTTTTTTTTTTTTCTTCACTCTATCTAGAAATTTTCCCTCCTTTTCCATTCCTGGTAATCAACAAAGTTTCCTTCTATGTATAAACTTTTCCTTGACTTTTTACAATAGTGGACTAAGACAATATTTGTTCTTTCTTCCATGACTGACTTACTTCACTTAGCATAATGTCCTCCAAGTTCACCCATGTTATGCAGTGTTTTGCAGATTCTATATTATTTTTTAGGGTTGCATAGTATTCCATTAGGAGCCTTTGTGGATGGTATTTCTATTTCCAACTTCTTAAGGAATCGCCATACCAATTTCCACAGTGGTTGGATCATTTTACAGTCCCACCAGCAGTGTATGAGAGTCCCAATCTCTCCACATCTTGGCCAGCTATTTTCTGCCTTATTGAACTTTGCTTATTAGTGCCTCCCCTGGATTTTCAGTGGCTGTTTTTTCAGAAGCAGAGTACCAGGCCTCTCTTACAAGATACCTCTGATGGGCTCAAACCACCAGTATTTCAGTTAGTGCCCAAGCGCTTAACCATTTGCATCACTCAAAGACTCCTGCCCTCTGGTTACTATTTGCAGAATGCTCATTTGTTTTACTACATGATGAAGTTACAGACTTTTAAGTAAATACTCTCTTTCATTTTCTTCTTTGCTAACAGATGCCATTCTGTGGTCTGTTTTTTAATAATTACTTTGGCATGGCAGTTGTGTTTCTTACAAGCCTAGGAATGAGGCTCTTCTAGCAGGTCGGAAAGTGAGCCCCGGAGAAGTCTACAGGAAAGTTCCTGTGTGTTCCTTCATCCAGCAGATGGAGGCTTATCTGAAGGGAGTTGAGGCAGTGGGGCAGTGCCAGTGCTTCTTGGCCCAGCCAGGGCAGCAGCGCAGGTGTGGGGGTCTCCTGTGGTCAGGATCAGGAATCAGGGAGCTCTGCAGGAGCTTTGGTCCCATCAAAGTATAGTGGGTTGAACTGTGTCCCCCAGAATGATATGTTACATGTCCACGTCCTAACTAGTACCTGTGAATGTGACCTTGTTTGGAAAGAGGGTCTTTGCTGATGTGATCAGGTTAAGGTTCTTGGGATAAGACCATTCTGAATTTAGAGTGGATCCTAAATTCAATGACTGGCATCCTTATAAGAGAAAGGAGGGGGGATTAGAGCCACAGACACATAGAGAGAAGGAGATAGGAAGACAGAAGCAGAGATTGGAGTGATGCATCTACAAGCCAAGGAATGCCTGGAGCCCTTAGAAGCTGGGAGAGAGGGAAAAGAATCCTCCTTCAGAGCCTCAGAAGGAGTCAACATGACTGACACCCTGATCTTGGATTCCCAGCCTCCAGAACCTTGAGACAATAAATTTCTGTCCTTATAAGCCACTCAGTGTGTGGTACTTAGGGATGACAGCTCAGGGACACTAACATAATGTGTTTTTGCCTGACAAAGGTGCTCTTAAGGTGCTTTTCTGAAAACAAAGCAAGTTCCTTATAGAGCCTCCTTCTCAGGTACATTAATGTCAGAACCCATAAAAGTCAATGTAAGAAAGATCTCTATACTTGAAAGCTGCAGGAGGAATTTCAGTTCACAAGAGAATTAAACTATTATGAAATATTGTTAAAGACAACCCAGTGGTCAGGTACAGGAGAAGTTGCCTGACTTTGAGTTCTAAAGAACCAAGACATGAGTTCCTGCCATCTTTTTTTCCTCAAAGGGTCCATCCTAGCCACCAGCACTGCACCTGCATAACCTGTGTAAACCCAGTCAAGTTCAGTGCAGGGCTCCAGCCCTCACACCTTGCTGCTCTTACCTCTTCTATCTACACTGATTGTTCAGACCTCTGCCCTTCCCAAGCTCCGAGGTTCACTCTCACCTATTTTCCTGAATCCAGCTGCACTGTCCCACCTGTTCATCCTTCTACAGGTGACTTAGGGCCACCCCCACATTGGCAGGCATACAGACTCAGGCCTGGTATCTGGTGTAATCAGCAGCACTATGCCCTGCATTTTCAGGAGCTAGGCACCTACAAAGTGTGACCTCCTGGTTCCTCGTCATCTTTGGGGAAGCCTGATCAAGGCCTATTTCAGGAGTGGACTCACCCTATGCCTGCCTATGGCACTGGTGTCCTGGAAGGGGAGGGCTGAGAGATGTGAGGTGTTGTTCCACTGGCCAGTGCAAGGTGCTGTGTCCTTTGTCCTCAGAGAGGCTCCTTTGTGGCTGAATTCAAGGTGCTAGCCCTTGGTGCACATAGGTCACTGGAATGGCCTGCAGGGTCCCTCTCATGTCCTTGGCCAGGAAATGCCTCACCTCCAGCACTTTGGGAGATGCTGGGTGGCTGTGGGCCATGTTTTGAGCCCACTGAAGGTGCAGGCAGCTGGCTAGGGCATGGCCTAGCCCAAAGGGTGGGGAAGCTGGTGTCTGAAAGGCAAATATGATGAATTAGGAGCTTCCCATGGCAGCAGCACATCTGGAGTTTTCTAGATGTGAACTTCAGAACTTAAGAAAGACAAAATAAGTGTTTCCTCCAGGGGTAGTAGTATTATCTTCGCTTAAAATCAGAAAAACCGTCTCAGCTGTTCTCCTCTTCTGCTGTGTTACTGCTAGAACCGGCCCAGGGTGTGGCATAGCCAGCCTTCAGGGAGTGGCTGTGCCAGGCAGGTATGTCTCAGTTCATCAAAGGGAGCACCTCTGCTGGACCAGAATTTTAATTGTAACAAACTGATAGGCAAAAAGCTCCCTCTCTCTCTCTCTCTCTCTTTTAATAAACAGAAGAGTCCTTTTGAAATGTATAAGACTGTGCCTGCATGGAAGAGAAAGCCTGTCCGGGTGCTGTCCCTTTTTGGAGACATCCAGGAAGGTGAGTTCACGGATGTCCCAAAGATGAGTATTCAAGGCATCTGGGGCAGAGGGGTAAGAGAAAGGACCTGTGGCTTCCCTGTTCCCAGACCCCTCTCTGAGCTAGGAGGACAAGGTGGCCCCTGTGCAAACTGAGCCACCACAAAATGCCTTTATAACAGTGTGCTGAGTCAGACACAAATGTGTCTAAGGAGTTTGGTGGGGCTGAAGTATTCTGGAGAAACTTGAGCTGAGTTGAGCAGCAAGGAGTAGACAAGACGCCATCCAAGGGCCACAGCAAGATGTTAGTCAGAGGGTCATCTTCAGGAAGCAGGAGGCTGAGGCAGGTACAATCTGGAGGGCAAGGCTAGAAAGGTTTGATCCATACCTGGTCCTGTCACCCAGGCTAGAGAGAGGGATGATGTTCCCAGGGGATGGTCCTTAGTCTGTGACCAACTGTCCTGAGCACACACCCTTCAGGAGTTGTTCTTAGGTAATGTCTATAGGGACCCCATGTGAAAAAGTAGAACTGCTCCTTAGGGTTTTCTAGGCTGTAATGTTTGTGGGAGCAGATTGACCTATCCTTCTGCAGCACAGCAGCTGGGTAGGATCAAACCACCAACTTTTTGGTTAACGGCTGAGAGCTTAACTTTTGAGTCACCAGGGCTTATTCTCCCCAGGAGAGACTCCTTGAAAAAGAAAGTCCATGAAGTAAGTGTGTGGGTGGATGAGACTGAAAGTCAGTAATGAGGGGAGCGGACCCAGTTCCTTTCTTGCATGTAGACCTGGTCCTGCCCTACCATGCAACTACAGGCTCTCCTCTCAGGGCCCTCCCTCTCTACTTGAATCTCTTGGCTCAGCCAAGCTACCCAGCCCTCCTTGTGTGTCCTGCCTTTCTCTGGGCCCTGCACTGACCTCTCACTGCTGGGGCCTTTGTGGATCTCCTTGTATGAGTGTCCTGGGATTGCCGTAACAAGTTACCACAAAGTGGGTGGCTTAAAACAACAGAAGTGTACTGTCTTACAGTTCTGGAGGTTGGGAGTCTGAGATCAGGGTGTTAGCCTTTTTGATTCCTTTTGAGACTGTGAGGGAGAATCTGTTTCATGCCTCTCTCCTGGCTTCTGGTGGCTCCAGGTATTCCTTGACTTATACAGCCATCATTCGTATCTCTGCCTCTTTCTTTATATGATGTTCTCTCTATGTTTCTAACTCCTGTCTCTTCTCCTCTTTTGTAAGGACATCACTGATATTGGATTAGGACCTACCCTACTCCAATAGGCTCTCACGCTAACTAATAACATCTTCAAAGACCCTGCTTCCAAACAAGGTCACGTTCACAGGTAGAGGGTTAGGACATAACATATCTTTGGGGGCATACATATCAACCCACAATACCCATTTAACCATCTGAATCCAAAAAGAATAAGAAGAATCCAAGAGGATACTCCTTAGTCTCTGACCAAATCAAGTTGGGGAATGGCCCCACTCTGAGCACTGGCTAAGTGTTCTGCATTAAGTCATCACAACAACCCCACAAAGTAGATACAATTAGGAGTATTATCCTCATATTATACACAAAGAGAGTACAGCTTGTCCAAGTTCACTCTGCTGGGCTATGGAGCTAAAGGAACCAGGAGTGGTCAGGGCCACATGGCTGCTATGGCCTTTTTCTCCCCATCTGAGATGATGCTTCTCTGAGTCCATTTTGTAAGGTCTGTACCTGTCTTCCTATTCCCCACGTTGTGGTCTCCTCTAAGACTGTGACCCTGGTCTCCTGTAGCCCATACCTGCCTGTCACATAGCCTGTTTGGAGACATTGCATGGATCCAACTGCCCAGCACATGTCCTAACATACTGAGTGCCATTGCAGTCCAGGAGCACCTAGGTCTACAGTCAGTGTTATTGTTAGTTGCGGTGGAGTCGACCCTCAACTCATGTGACCCCATGCATAAAAGATAGAGTGCTGCTCGGTCCTGCACCGTCCCCACGATCAACTGGGGATCGGACCATTGTGATTTGTATGGTTTTCATTGGCTGACTTTTGGAAGTAGATTGCCAGGCCTTTCTTCATAGTTTGTCTTAGTCTGGAAGCACCACTGAAACCTGTTAGCATCATAGCCACATGTAAGCCTCTACTGACAGACAGGCTGGGAATCGAACCTGAACTGGGTTTCCTATATATTTTTCTTGTCGTTATGTGCCATTGAATTGGTTCTGACTCATAGCGACCTGGGTACAACAGAACAATCATGTTGAGAGTCTCCTTTTTTGCTGACCCTCTGTTTTACCAAACATGATGTCTTTCTCCAGGGACCAGTCCCTCTTGATAATATGTCCAAAGTTCATTAGGCAAAGTCTCACCATCCTTGCTTCTAAGGAGCACCCTGGTTATATGTCTTCCAAGACAGATTTGTTTGTTCTTCTGGAAGTCCATTCAGTATATTCAGTATTCTTTGCCAGTATCATAATTCAAATGCATCAATTCTTCTTCAGTTTTCCTTATTTACTATCCAGCTTTCTCATATATATGAGGTTATTAAAAATACCATGGCTTGGGTTAGGCGCACTTTAGTCCTCAAATCGACATCTTTGCTTTTTAACACTAAAGAAATCTTCTGCAGCAGATTTGCCCAATGCAATTAATTTTTTGACTGCTTCTTTCACGGTTGATTGTGAATCCAAGTAAAATGAAATCCTTGACAACTTCAATTTTTTCTCCATTTTCATGATGTTGCTTATTGGCCCAATTGTGAGGATTTCTGTTTTCACTGTGTTGAGGTGTAATCCATACTGAAGAATGACTGATCTTCATCAGTAAAGGCTTCAAGTCATGCTCATTTTAGCAAGCAAAGTTGTGTCACCTGCATATTCCAGGTTGTTAATGAGTCTTTCTCCAATCCTAATGCTGAGTTCTTCTTTATATAGTCCAACTTTTCAGAATATTTGCTCAGCATGCAGATTGAATAAATATGGTAGAAGGATATAACCCTGATGCACACCTTTCTTAATTTAAACCATGCAGTATCCCCTTGTTCTGTTGAAATAACTGTCCCTTCATCTAGGTACATGAGCACAATTAAGTGTTCTGACATTGCCATTCTTCCCAATATTATCTATAATTTGTTTGATCCACACAGTTGAATGAGAAGTGATAATTCTACCACTGAACCATCTATGACCCCTTGAAATCAATGTTGTTGTTGATTGCCATTGAGTCATTTCCAAGTCATGGAGATCCTGTGCTGCATGGGGTTTTCAATGTCTACTTTTTTTTCAGAAGTAGATTGCCAGGCCTTGCTTCCAAAGCACTTCTGAGTGGACTCAAACCACTAACCTTTTTAGTAGCTGAGTGTGTTAACTGTTGCAACACTCAGAGTGACTCTTTTCAATCAATAAACTTGACTTTCACTAACAATGTGACAAACCATGTGACCAATATCCTCAGCCTTAGTCCCCTTACCCTGCCATTAAGAAAGTAAACATTAAAGAACAATGAGGGATACCCAAATCATCTCACAACATGGATGAACCTGGAGGACATTATGCTGAGTGAAATAAGTCAACCGCAGAAAGACAAGTACTGTATGAGCCCATTACTATAAAAAGACAAAGAAGAGTTTGCTTGGGAAATGGAACTCACTTTGTAGGTTACCGGGATGGGAGGGATTAATTTCAGGCTAGTTGGGGCCCACACGCTGACGTGGGTCAGGGGAGGGATGTATGGAAAGGAACTATGACCACCAGGATAACATTAGGAAATGGGAGGACACTGAATTGTGCACAAAAGAGATAGACGACAGATGCTAATACCAGTCAACGTGTCCACAATACTGCATTACCATTAACACCAAACATCAGGCTACAGATAAACACATAAACACCTGAGAGGATCAGATGGGAATCAGTGAGCAGGAAGGTACTCTAGACCAGCTGAGGTTAATCTTGCAATAATTACAGAAAAAATAGAAGATAAACACAGAGTAATGCCTCATAGACACGCAGACATTATGGGAGAGAGATCCAATAGATCTACCGTCTAGGACCATAGTGCTGGGGGACACCAGACTCAATTGGCACAACAAAATACATAAAAGCCTTGTTCTGCATCCTACATTGGTGAGTAGCAACTGGGTCTTAAAAGCTTCCAAGTGGCCATCTAAGATGCAGCTAACAGTCTCCTAGCATCAGAAGCAAAGAAGAATGCAAAAAAAAAAAAAAAAAAAGGGGGGGGGGCATTTGGAAGCAATCACCCATAGGACACGATGGCCCTCAAGACCAGAAAAACTAGATGGTACCAAGCTACCAATGCCAACCATGCAGGAAAATATCAGATCTGGAGATCCTGGATAGAGTGGGAGGAAAAAAGTGGAACAAAATCCAAAACCTCAATAATGACCAGAATTACTGGTCAGAGGAAGTCTGATGAGACCCCCAATACTGTGGCCCTGAAATACATTCTGTGTCTGGAATAAAACTCACCCCCAGGGGCTGGCTCTTAGCCCAATAGTTAACAAGATATACACGCAGACCACTCAAACCAGGATGACGCACCCATAGAGTCTATAATACATCCCTTAGAGCAATGGACCACGGAGCACCAGAGGACCAACATTCAGGTTGAGGAAATGCAGGACAAACAGGAGTACATAAATATGAGGGGCACAGGGGGATGGTTACAGGGTAGGGAGGGGAAGATACTGGGTTAGGGTTGGACATGGTAAATGGGGAGTGAAACTAAAGGTACACATAACGTTGAATGTAGAACAAGCTCTTAAAAATAAGAATAATTTTTTAAAAAAGTAAAGTTTGCTGATTTAAAAGCATGTTGTTGTGTTACTGTTAGTTGCTGTTGAGTTGATTCCAACTCATGGTGACCCCATGTGTGCAGAGTAGAACTGTTATGTACTGTTTTCAAGACCACATGTTCCCACTGCCCTCTTTTATTCCCTGTAGAGTCAAAGTTAACATTAGTCTCTCTGTTTCTTTGTTTCTCTTTATCCAGAGCTGGTGAGCTTAGGCTTTTTGGAAGGTGGTTCTGTTCATGGACAACTGAAGCACCTGGATGATGTTACCAACATAGTGAGGAGGGATGTAAGTGCTGCCCCCACTCGGGGGAACACAGCTGGATGTGCAAGAGACTCACTAGGAAACAGTGGGAAAGAATGGGAGATGGCAGAAGGCAGGGGAGGGAGGACTTAATGCAGCACAGCTGGAGGGCCAGGCAGCAGGGTCCTCAAACCAGTGTCCTCTGGGAATGAGTTCCCTGAGGCACAGTCATTGGCCGGGATCAGCACTAGAAGTATGTCCTTGGCACCAACATGGCAATGGCCACAGAACAGCAGCATTGGGTGGTCACTAAAGAGATCAAGGTGAACATTCTCATGGTCCCCAAGCTTCCCAAGCCCAGAACAGACGGTTGCTGGGCATATCTCCTTACCCAACATCTTGGCGTCCAACTTCTATCCACATGGGGTCACAATGAGTCCTTTACCACTTGAACAGCAACTGGTTTTATAATGTGGGGCTGCCCAGCCAGGAGGGATTACACCCCCACTCCTTCCTCTAACACAAAAATGCTGACTCTTCAGTGGAACAGCTGCTGATTGGAGAACCTCCTCTGGCATGGAAAGGAAGTGATGCAGTCCCAGTGACGCATTTTCTTCCCTGTTATCTTTTCTGGGGTCCCAGATGTGTACAAAGAATGTACTTGTGCTCAATCTCCTGCTGCCTAGTCAGTGGTCTTATAGAAAGGGCTGACAGGACTAACCAGTCCCTGTTTCACATGTTGATCCTGAGCAGGGAGGCTTTGGCCATGATTGCAGAATGACTCAGGCCTCTCACAGACCAGAAGCGAGAGGGTCAGGAGAGGATCAGGACGCCTTCACAAGCCAACAACAGGACCAGGTTGGCCCTATCTCTCGCCATCCTGGTGCCTGGGGACAGGCCAGAAAGAAGAAAAGCCCCTAGATTCCTGGGGCAGGAGGATGAGACTGCAGAGTTCCTGAGAGCTAAATGACCACAGGGCAGGGGTGGGGGCTCAGATGGGGCAGGGAGATCTAGGAGAACAGAGGGAGCAGGAGACTGGGGCGCTGTGATCCCAAGGGGGAGGAAGGGGGTTAGAGGGGTGGGGGATTTGGGGGAGTCAGAGGGCCAAGAGAGTAGGGGACTGGGGGAAAGGGAGAATGCAGCCATGGTAAAGGGGGCAGCAACCAGAAAAGATGTGAAGGCGGAGAGTCCACCCCACTGCCAGGAGCCTGCCAGAGCCTCCTGGCTCTGCCTCCATCTGACTTGGGGGGCCTATGTCTGAGAGATTAGCTTACCTCACCAGCTGTGCCCAGAGAGGCCCAGGATTCACTAACTGTGGGTCCCCCACACCCTGATGAACAGGGCAAGTCTATCCACGTGGGAAGGTGTAACCCACATTACTCTGGGACCAGAGCCCCACAGCCCTGAGCTTCATCCCTGTGGGCCTTGCCCAAGCCCATGCCTCTACCTCACCAATGTCCCTTTAGACTTCCTGCCATAGGACCATTCTGGCCTCTGCCTCTGCCTATGTGGAGGGCACTCACAGGATGACTCTCCCTTGAAGGATAGGACATTCAAGATGGAGACCATGACAATGACTTAAAGACCTCTGCAGGCTTCAATCTTAGCATAGCTTCAGGAAACTATCAGACATAAAAGCCATTTCTTAGGTTCAACAAACTAAGATACCTAGAACCACCCCTCCTCTCCTCAATAATAAGCTTTCTCTTAGTAACAATAATGATTGTTTGGGCAGTGGAGTCAACTAGTTTCCAGAGTTGCCACACATGATGTTACCTCATTATCACCAAACCCTGTGAAATGGAAATGATGATGATGATGATGATGATGATGATGATGATGGTAATGAGACACAACCCACTGCAGAGGTGAGAAAACAGAGGGCACACCTAGGCCAGGACCTGGCACATGGCTCCCCAGGGCTGGGCTCTCACCCACTCTCTGACACCTGCATGGCCCCTGACCCTACACTGCAGGTGTCAGGGGTCTTTAAAACGAGTCCTTGTTCTGACCATAGGCAGTTGGTTCTGGAAGAACTGGAAGTTCTTTCAAATCATTGGCTTCTTTCTTTTCCATTCAGCTGGGTGACCCACTTCATTCATTGGTTGTAATAGTTGGGCCCATAGAGAAACACAAACAGCAGCCACCTGCATGTAGATTGTTAGGTGGAGTTTGTCTTGGACTGTCACCCACTCTCACCTCCATTCCCTTCTGCCCAGACCCCAATCTGTCACACTTTTCCTCAGTGTCTCAAGGCATACATTTATAGTCAAATACAATTAGGTTTATCAGCTTGGTGCAACATGGGAGAACATGTTCAAGAACCACTCAGCATCTCTGGAAAGAAGATGTGGGTGATGCTTACAGGATTTGGGCTTTTGATAAGTGACTTAGAGGAGAGCCCAATGAGTCTATTCTGGATCAAGTGCTGTTAAGAAATGGTGGAGTCTGGTATTTGGAGTATTATTAGTTCTTATCTCCACCACTCATCTGTCAGTTTGTTCTACTGTGGTGGCTTGCATATTGCTGTGAGGCTGGAGGCTATGCCACCAGTATTTCAAATACCAGCAGGGTCACCCATGTGGACAGGTTTCCATGGAGCTTCCAGACTAAGACAGACTCAGAAGAAGGGAGAGGCCTTACATTTCTCAAAGAACTAACCAGTGAAAACCTTATGAATAATAGTGAAACTGTCTGACATATTACTGGAAAATTTTATGAATAGTCCTGAAACATTGTCTGATATAGTGCCAAAAGATGAGCTCTTCAGGTCAGAAGGCACTGAAAATACAACTGGGAAAGAGCTGCCTCCTCAATGTGGAGCTGACCTTAATGACGTGGATGGAATAAAGCTTTTGGGACCTCTGTTTGCTGATGGGGCACAACTCAAAATGGGAAGAAACAGCTGCAAACATCCATTAATAATTGGAATGTGGAATGTACAAAGTATGAATGTAGGAAAATTGGAAGTTGACGCACACACACACAAAAAGGAACACATAAAGATCAATATCCTAGGGATTAATGAGCTGAAATAAACTGGTTTTGGTCATTTTGAATCAGACAATCATATGATCTACTATCCAGGGAATGATAAATTGAAGTGGAATGGTGTAGCATTCATTGTCACAAAGAATGTTTCAAGATCTATCCTGAAGTACCATGCTGTCAGTGATAGGATAATATACATATGCCTACAAGGAAGACCAATTAATACTACTATTATTCAGATTTACACACCAAAAACTAAAGCCAAAGGCAAGGAAATTAAAGATTTTTACCAACTTCTGCTGTCTGAAATTGACCAAACATGCAGTCAAGATGTATTGATTATTACTGGCGATTGGAATGTGAAAGATGGAAACAAAGAAGAAATCATCAGTAGCTGGAAAATATGGCCTTGGTGATAGAAATGAGATCACCAGATCTTGTGCTTGAGATTGCAAGATAAGATTTTGCAAGACCAATGACTCATTCATTCCAAATACCTTTTTTCAGCAACATAATCAGCAGCTATACATGTGAACCTCACCAAGTGAAATACACAGGAGTAAGATTGACTACATCTGTGGAAAGAGGCAATGGAGAAGTTCAATATCTTCAGCAAAAACAAGGCCAGGAGCTGAATGTGCAACAGACCATCAGTTGCTCATACACAAGTTTAAGTTGGAGTCTGCAGTATGATTTACACCTTAACACAAAGAAAACTAAAATCCTCACAACTGGACCAGTAAGCAGCATCATGATAAATGGAGATAAGATTGAAGTTGTCAAGGATTTCATATTACTTGATTCTACAATCAACACCCATGGAAGCAGCAGTCAAGAAATCAGACATTGTATTGCACTGGGCAAACCTGCTGCAAAAGATCTCTTTAAAGTGCTGAAGAGCAAAGATGTCTCTTTGAAGACTAAGGTGCACCTAACCCAAGCCAGGGTATTTTCAATTGCCTCATATGCATGGGAAAACTAGACAATGAAGAAGGAAGACAGAAGAAGAGTTGATGCTTTTGAGTTGTGGTGTTGGTGAAGAATATTGGAAGTACCATGGACTGCCAGAAGAACTAACAAATCTGTCCTGGATGAAATGCAGCTGGAATGCTCCTTGGAAGTGAGAATGGCCAGACTTTGTCTCACCTACTATGGTCATGTTGTCAGAAAGGACCATTCCCTGGAGTAGGTTATCATACTTGGTAAAGTGGAAGGTCAGTGAAAAAGGAGAAGACCTTCAACAAGATGGCTTGACACAGCGGCTGCAACAATTGTCTCAAATATAGCAAGGATTGTGAGGATGGTACAGGACAGGCAGTGTTTTGTTCTGTTGTTCATAGGATCGCTATGAACCAGAGCCTACTCAACAACACTTAAGAACAATATTCTTATCGAGGATGTGAGCTGGAGTCATCATAGATAAATAAGGAGGAGTCCTTCATGTCACCCCAGAGAGGGGATCTTGGGTTGCTTTTCTGGTTGAAGAATATTCTTATCTTGTTGAGATTCAGATATGATTATGGAGTGGTCTTGTTTTCTTCCTCTGTGATCATGGAGTGGTTGGTTACTGACGTTCTGTGGAATTGCTTATGTTCATCAGGGAGCACATGGTCTGGCTGTTACCATCCAGCTACTAGCTACTGGGTAGAGCTCTTCTTTTTCTCAGACAATGTACACACATGCAACAGGCAACTACACAATGATCAGCCATACAACAGACAACATACAATGGACAACACACACAACAGAAAACCACACAGAGGAAAACCAAACCTTGCCGTGGACAACATATAAAAGGGCAACATGCACGATGGATAATATATACAATGAACAACACACACAACAGACAACATATACAAAATTCACTTGAATCTTGGGAGTCCAATGTGTTATACTCCTAGGAGTATATTTCTTTGAACAGCAATGCTTAGCACAAGGAGTAACCTCAGACATCACTTGCTGTATGAAAGAGGCCTCTCAGAGGACCAGCCTCCCAGGTAGTTATGGCTTAACCACAGGTAATGTGGTGGTGCTGAAGATGTTCCTGGCAGGTCTGACATGATGTCTGTCACTCCCAGGAAGGCTCAGGTTCTGGGTAGCACGTGTCTTGTGAGCAGAGCAGGTAGTCCCATGTGCCCAGTTTTTGTCTGTTCTCCAGAGGAACGTTTTCCTCATGAGTCTCCTGTTAAAGTGAGAACATGTTTACAGCCTTCTCCAGTGCCCTTGTCTTGCAGGTAGAAGAGTGGGGTCCTTTCAACCTCATGTATGGCTCAACACCACCACTTGGCCACACCTTTGAACGGCCTCCTGGTAAGAAATACATGAACTGTGGTCAGCTCAGTCACCTCTGTGCTCTCATCCTGCCCTGTCTCTTCTTCCTCATTCCCTTCCTCTGTGCTGCCTCTGGCCGTCCCAAGGAGGTAGAAATTGTAAATTGTCTGCATTAAAAAAAAAAAATAGCTTTATTGAGGAATAATTGGCATGATAGATTGAACATGTTAAAAGTGCCTAACTGGATAAATTTTGACATGCATTATCCCATGAAACCATCACCATGATCTATAACGTGAGTGTATCATCACTGCCAAAGGATTACTCATATCCCTTTGTCATCTCTGCTGCCCTTGCGTGAGTTCCGTCCTCAGGCAACTACAGATGTATTTCTGTCACTGTAGAGTGCTGTGCTCCCTAGAGTTATGTTTAAATGGAATGATCTGTGTACAGACTCAGCAACACTTGTGGGGTCTGTCTTCCTTGTCTGTGCCTGCATTGTTTGAACTACCCCTGTCACCTCTTAAGCCATCCTTGGGTGTGCGAATGGCTAATGTGTTTGGCTGCTAATCAAAATGTTAGAGGTTCAAGTCTACCCAGAGGCATCTTGAAAGAAAGGCCTGGTGTTCTCCTTCCAAAAATCAGTCATTGAAAATCCTACGGACCACAGTTTTACTCTGACACTCACGGGGCCACCATGCATTGGAGTCAACTGAATGACAAATGGGAGTAAGGCTGAGCCTGTGATCCGAGGCCTGAGGGTGGAGACTTTGTACCTCTTTTGCCCAAAATGCTCTGGTTTCTGCTGGTGGGATCAGAACTAAATGGGAGCAAGCACCCAGGCCCTCATGGAGCCCCCTCTCATCCTTCCTTTCACATCCCTCCCTAGAACCCCATGCCCCTCACGCACCAGGAAGCCTGCCCGTCCATGACATGGCCCTCTCTCTCTACAGGGTGGTACCTATTCCAGTTCCACCGTGTGCTACAGTATGCACGGCCCAGGCTGGGCAGTGGACAGCCCTTCTTCTGGATGTTTGTGGACAACCTGGTGCTGACTGCAGATGACCGTGTTGTGGCGACCCGCTTCTTGGAGGTATGTGCAAAGGAATCCTCTGGGAGGCACAGCCAGGCAGGAACCCCTCTGATCCCATGCTCCCATGGAAGTGCCTCTCCACTGTAGGACACCAGGGCCCAGGAGCTGAGACATAGACCCACCAGGCCTCTCAGGACATCTATCTCCTATGTCACACTGTGCCTCCAGAATATGGCCACCAAAGGGTTCATCTCCTTCTCCCCTGAGTCCTGCTCTGTCTTCACACATGCACACATGTGTACAGCACACTCTTACACAAAGACTCACATACCCCTAATACTCCTATATACACATGCACACACAAAGCACACACATTCGTACACACATACACACCACACACAATACATATCCCCACACTCTCATATACTCATGCATTACATGCACACTCACATGTACACACACTCACATATGCACACACCCTTTGGGCACCATAGCCTGTTTTTTTCTATCCATTATCTGAATGCTGGTGATCAGAGCAGCCACTTACGGGCTCAGCAAACTGTTCCATCCAGGGCTGGCTTGGGCCCCGGGTCCTTTCCTGGCCCTGCATGCCCTGTCTCTTATTGATGTTCCCTCCTTTTCAGGGTGTCTCCACTACAACCACATGGTTAAAACTTTTAACAGATGTTTAAAAGTTTATAGTAAACATCTCTCCCCTTCCCTGGCCCTCATCCACCTATTTCCAATGTCCCCACTTTTTAGTCTCTTGGTTGTCCTTCCAGAATTTCATTATGAAGATACAAGCAAATCTGAATATATGCACCATTCTGTACCTTGCTTTTTTTTCCATTTAACGATTATCTTGTAAATCTTCCCATTGTAAAAAGTATCTTTCTCTTTCTTTGTTTTGATTATGTATGTGTGTGCATTTTTATTTTACTTTATGCAGTTTTCTTGTGTATGGACATTCAAAATGTATTTTACCTGTTCCCTATTGATGAGAAATTGGACTATTTCTAAGCAACACTGCAATGAAGACATGTGTATGAATTATCTGTAGGAAAAGTTCCAGAAATAAGATTGCTGGGTCAGAGGATAAATGTATTTGTCATTGTCACAGATACTGCCTAACTGCCCTCCACATGGGGTAATTCCAGTCATAGTCCCACCACAAGAGGATGAGGGGCTGCTTTCCCGCCTCCCTGCCCAAGGAAGGTGCCATAAATTCTCTTAACATTTTTTGTTCAGTTTATTCCCAAGTGGTTTACCTTTCTTTTTTTGCCTCCTGTGGCAGATGGAAAGGTGATCAACAGAATGTGGATACTATTGAACAATATCATTAATATCACATGCAGCTAAATTTTTGCTGAAGATAATTCAAAAACAGCTGCAGCAGTATGCTGACAGGAAACTTCCAGAAATTCAAGCTGGATTGAAAAGAGGATATGGAACAAGGGATATTAAGGATTACAGCCTTCAGTAGGGATTACATCTCAACAAAAAAATAAAACAAGAACAAATCTTACAAATGGACCAGTAAGCAACATAATGATAAATGGAGAAAAGATTGACGTTGGTAAAGATTTCCTCTTATTGGGTCCACAATCAGTGCCAATGGAAACAGCAGTCCAGAAATCAAAGAACATATTGCATTAGGCAAATCTGCTGCAAAAGACTTTTTTAAAATGTTAAAGAGCAAAGATGTCATTTGAGGAGTGGGATACACTTGACCCAAGCCAAGGTATTCTCAATAGCCTCGTATGCATGTGAGAGCTGCACATGCAGGAAAGACCACAGAAGAACTGATAGGAGAAGGAGAAGGAGAAGGAGAGGAAGAGAAAGAAAGAAGAAGAATTGATGCATTTATTTTGTGGTGTTGGCAAAGAATATTGAATATATTCAATGGACGACTAGAAGAAAGAACAAATCTGTCTTGGAGGAAGTGCAGCTGGAATGTTCCTTAGAAGCAAGAATGGCCAGAGTTCATCTCTCATACTTTTGTCATGTTGTCAGAAGAGACGAGACCAGTCTCTGGAGAAAGATATCCTGCTAGGTAAAGTAGCGGGTCAGCAAAAAAGGAGAAGACCCTAACCAAGATGGATTGACACAACGATGGGCTCAAGCATGGCAACAATTTTGAGGATGGCACAGGACAGGGAAGTGTTTTTTTCTGTTGTATGTAGGGTCACTATGAGTTGAAACTGCCTGGAGGGCACCTAACAACATATATATATATATATATATATATATATATATATATATATATATATATATATACACATGTACATGCATATAAAGAGAGAGAGGGGGATATTTACTTCAAGGATTACCTCATGCAGTTATGGGAACTGAGAACTGCAAAATCCATAGGTTGAAATTGCCTGCGGGCTTAAGCCCAAGATCTGTAGATCAGGTGACAGGAAGAGTGCAGAGAGAGGGGAGTTCTACTAACATGTAATTCTGTAATTGATTACATTCTATTACATTATGGAAACTAATTACATTACATTACATTGTGTATGGTGATTGTATTAATTACATCATGGAACAGCAGCTAGTCTAGTGTTTAGCCAAACCACTGGGAATCATAGCCTGGTCTATAAAAATTAAACCATAAAGCCATTAAACCATAAAATCAACCATCACATGAAGTGCAGGCCCCCTTGTGTTTTAGTGTTGGGGACCAGGTAGCCTCTTGCCCTTCCTCCTCCACACTTCTCTCCCTTCCTCAGCTCCCTCTCCCAGTGGTGGATAGTCTACTTCCTGCCTCTTCCCCTTTCCTTCCAGTGACTTCTAGGGTGACTGTGATTCCAGGATTCTAGGCAGCCACTTGGCTCCTGACAAACATTGTAAAGTATTTGCACTTTAGAAAGCTCTTCTCTCTGCCTGCTAAGCTTCTTCTTCTTCTTTTTTTTAATTGTGATTTGGGTGAAGATTTACAGAGCAAATTCACTTTCCATACAGCAGTTCACATATACTTTGTCTCATGTCATTGACCACAGTTTACCACAGCACAACAGCTCCCCTCCCACTTTCTCCCCATAGTTACCTCTTCCCAGTGTCCATCCCTCCATATACTCCTCTGCTAAGCTTCTTATCTCCCTGAGACAAAACACCTTGTTTGACTCTGGAAAACCAAGGCCTTCTTTACCCTGTGTAGGAACCACATGCACACAGAAGGGATCAGTTTCGTGGATGGAGACTTGCTGAGCAGCATACCATGTGGGAATGGAAAACTTATAGGTTCATAGTCTTAAAATGATATGTTCCCCCCCGCCCCCCATAACGTGACTTATAAGTAAAAGCTGTTGTGTAAGCTGTGTCAACAAGCTGATGAGACACTGTCAGCCTAGAATGTCTGTTGACCATATTCTGAGGGCCAGCAAGGGCCTGTGGGAGCCATGGGAGGTGGCGAGGGCAGTGGGGGAGGAGGAAGTTGTTACCTAGTCAGGCTCATCCTCAGCTTTGTTTCCCTTCAGACTGATACCGTGACCATTCAGGACGTCTGCAACAGAGTCACCCGGAATGCTGTGCACGTGTGGAGCAACATTCCAGCTGTGAGGAGGTATTTATTGTTCCCGACAATGTCTTTCAAAGTGTAAGGGATATTGAGCCTACCCTGGGAACAGAAGTCAGAGAAAACGGGTAGTTTTCTAGATAGTGCCAAGCAGGATCTGTGTAGGGTCAGGACTGTCAGGGGACTTTGGGGGCTATTCAGCAAAAGCTGGATGCTCAGGGCCATGAAGACTCCTTTCTACTTGGGGACCTTCTCCTTGCTTTTCCCACTGATATTTCTGAGGCCCTCACCTCAGGGCTTTGTAACATAGCCCTGTGTCCTGAGGGAAGAGGCCAAACTCTTGAACACGAACCACAGGCCACCTGCGGCCTGGCTCTGGCCCCCCTCAGTCTTCTGGAGCACCCAATCACCCTCCATATACTCAGACACACACTCAATCACTCACAATCTTACACACTCACTTGTTCACACTCACATGCCTAAACTCACATTCACAAACTTGTTCACACCCTACCCTTACTCATACAAGCACATTCACACCCATTCACATATACTTTCTCACCTATTCACACACATTTACACAAGCTCACACACAAGCTCACTCATATATACACTCACACTCTCACACTCAAGAACCCACACACTCTCACACTCATTCACATTCATAGCCCCCACACTCACATTTACTTGCACACACACTGTAATTCATTGACACTCACACCCTGCACTCACATACACACACTCACACACCACTCTTAGACACGCTCTTGCTCACACTCACACACCCACATGGTACATCAGTGCTATATTGAACTTCTTCCAGCCCCTCAAACATGCCACATTTTGGGCCCCACACACCCTCCTTTGCTACCTGGACACTCTCCTCCTACCCCGCCCCCATTTGCCCTACCTCACAGATCCCTGTCTGACACCCTCCTCCTAACTCGGGCCTGGGCTTCAGTGTCCTATCTTCTGGGCAACCTTCCTGCCCAGCTCCTGGGCCCCCAGCCTCTTACCTGGCACTGTCTGCTCCCTCACCTCCACCTGCACACCTGTCCTTCAAGAATACTAGAGCTCCTGAGGAGATGGCCCAGGCACATTTAATACACAGATTCTTGCAGAATGAATGCTCAGTGCATTTTCAGGGACAAGCAAGTTGTGTCTTCTCCAAACTGAGAGTGGATTTCTGGAAACATCTTCCCATCCCACCTCTCCAAACCAAACCTCCATAATCCCAATGCCCTTCTAGTTTGTGGCCATTGTGGGATTCCATGGCCAGAGCTCCTGCCATGGCACCCTGTGCCTTGTACCACCCAGGATCTGCATCTAGATGCAGCTACAGTGAAGCAGTTTTCTAAAATGTTTTCCTTCTTGAAGCCTTAGGTTATTCAGTGTGCCACATCCCCCCTTCCCTCAATACTCTCTTTCCCTCCTCCTCCCTACCTCAAGCTCTTCAAGGTGTTGGGCAAGGTGGGCAGGTGAAAAGGAGGTTTGTGTGGTCTTAGCACAGAAACACCTGCATGGAGAACCCCATTCTGCAACTCATCAGGTCTCTTTCCCCCATGGAGCCCATTTATTCAGCAGGAAAATAACATCCCTGAGAAGTAATGATGGACAGGTGCACCCCAGGCCCAGTATATAAAAGCTGCTGGATGAAAGCTGTCTTCCTCCTCTGCCCCAAGCTGTAGAGAGTATTCTGCAAGGTGGAACCCTCCAAGTCTCAGCAGGACTGGCCATTCCTTCTCTCCCTTATCCCAAACCCACCCCCTTTCCAAGCAAGACCTCATAGGACAGCACCCTACAAGCTCCTCCTGCCTTCATTGCTGGGGTAGGGGGCTGGCCTTGAGGGTACTCCTGATCATACTCCTGGGACCACCTGATTCCTAGAAGTGAAGTGGAAGCTGCCTTGTCTCCTGGATATCTCCCCTCTCAGGCTGGTGGTATCCCCTAAGTAGTGGGAATCAAGAAGCACACAGACAGGCAGCAGGAATCACTTTGTTTAGATAGTTAGCAGTCTAAGGCCATTGCCACCCTTCAGATGGGCAAGGATAGTCTCCAAGCTGCTCAGGAGGGAGGGGTGGGGGAGAGGACTGGGAGGGGTGCCTCATTTGGGGCCCCTTAATTAACCAAGATACATTCTGACTCTGGTTGGATGCCCGGGCATGCAAAGCTGGTGGCAGGTGCTGGGTTGGGGATCCCAAGGACAGGGTCATGTCCTCCACCCACCCACCAGCCTCCAGCAGAGAAGCCATGGGCCCCAGGGATGCACAGCATCAGGTGGGGACTGTATATCAGGAGTCCAGGTAGCAAGCGTCGGGGTCCCACACCCATGCAATTTGACCCCAGTGTGTTCTGTCCTTTATGTGAAGACGTGCCTTGGGAAGGTCCCACATCCCACTCCAGGACAGCTTCCAGATCTGCTCTTTACATGGAATGCAGGGCTCCCGTGCTGGGCTGATCCTTGTTGGTCTGACCCTACCTTATCCCTCCCTCACCTGATTTTCACCAGAGGAGGGGCAGGCAGTCTGATGTCCCTTCATCCAGTAACACTGAGACATGTTATTCCTCCATTTTGTTGACAGATCTTATAAAGAACTTTATCTTAGAGTCTTCTAGGTCATTCTAGAGTGATGCTTTGTCCCTGGTCATTCTCTAGAATGCATATATTGAACGTTGACTGTGAGCCCAGTGCCCTGTGTTGCTGCCCCTCCCAATCCGCCCTCCCTGTGGGCCCATGTGGGCAGGCAGGGGGAGATGCATGCCCAGCTCTGTGACAAGTGTCCTCTCCTTTGCAGCAAGGACTCAGCTCTGGCTGCTGAAGAGGAATTGTCCCTGCTGGTTCAGGACAAGCCCAGAGCCAGGCTTCCTGCCTTGAGCCCCGCTGCGCTGGTGAAAAACTGCTTTTTCCCCCTCCGAGAATATTTTAAGTATTTTTCAACAAACTCACTTCCTCTCTATAAATGAGTCATTATACTGTGAAAAAAAAAAAAAAAAAGACTTCCTAGAACAAAGACAAGTTTCCTTAAATTATCCTCCCCCCCTCCAACCTTTAGATTATTATTTTATTTGCTGGACTTCTGCTTTCTCAGGGTTGCTGCAGATCTGTCTTTCATTTGGTCGTGAAGAAGCAGGGTCTTCACTCCCTATCATCCTCGTGAATGTGATGGGATGAAGCTCTGTGTGATTACACACAAGATCCAGACATTCTAGTGCACATTGCACTTCCCACAAATATTTGTGTTCTGGTTGGAAATTACAAATATATTTATTATTAAATATTTACTGGTCATTTTTTGGTGTTTTTATGTATAAGCGCATGTTGTTGTTGTTTGCCATCAAGTCGGACCCAACTCATAGTGACCCCTTCTTGGGTTTCCGAGGCAGTATCACTACGGAAGTAGATTGCCCCATCTTCCTTCTGAGGAGTGGCTGGTGGGTTTGAACCACCAGCCTTCTGGTTAGCACTTAAGTGCCTTAGCCACTATGCTACCAGAGCTCCCATATAAGCACATAGCATGTACTTTATTCTATGGGATGCCAGGAGTATATGTGTGAGGAAGACCAGGGTGGGGTGGGGAGGAGAACATGTTTATAAATTCTAGTTACATGTGTTCTATAGGAACATGTCTGACATTTTCATTACATGACCACTATTTGCTTTGATAGGAGCTCTGGTGGCATAGTGCCTAAGGCACTTGACTACTAACCAGAAGACTGGCAGTTCAAACCCACCAGCCACTCCTTAGAAGGAAGGTTGAGCAATCTACTTCCATATTGATACCGCCTCAGAAACCCAAGGAGGGGTTGCTATGAGTCTGATCTACTCGACAGCACTGAGTTTGGTTTCTTTGCTTTATTTGCTTTGACAATAAAAATCACTCTCCCTTATGTCTAGATGAAACATTCCAAACCTTTGCAAAGTGGAGAATTTCAAACTATGTGAACAAAGGAAGAACTGAATGAATAGATAGCTTAGAGGAATCCCCTGGTGTTGCAAAAGTTAATGCCCTTGGCTATTAATTGAAAAGTTGGAGGTTCGGGTTTGTTAATGTAATCCAGAAGCCAAGGCTAGATCCAGTTGCTGAGTATATAACCTCTTGATCTTTCTTAGCCCTGAGGGAAATGCTCACAGAAAAGCAGGACCCCTTTCTCCATCAGTTCAACTAAAGTTTAATGGGAAAGACCTGAGTATCAACCCACCAACACCAGAGAGCATTGAATTAGGTTGATCTCAAACCACAAGTAATGAATCCTCAAGGAATCTTTCCAGATTAGTCAGGAAACTCCCCAAGGAATCTAGATTTAGATAAGTAAACTGACTCAATTGTCCTGGGCTTTGGGGACTTTTGTGGCCAGGAATGGTGAACTCACTTGACTGGTGATCAAAAAGTTGGAGGACCCAGCTCACCCAGAAACACCTTGGAAGAAAGGCCTGGCAATCTACTTTCAAAATATCAGCCACTGAAAAACCTGTGGGGCACAGTTCTGCTCTGACACTGGGGTTACCATGAGTTGGGGGTCAACTCAATGGCAACTGTTTTTTTGAGTTTCCTGGTAGCCAAGAATAGTACATAAAATGCTTTGTGGAAGAAATGTAGGGTTAAAATTTAACCTTTTGAAGACTCTCTCTCTTTTTCCCTTCCCTTCCCTTCTCTCTCTCTCTCTCTCTCTCTCCACACACACACACACACACACACACACACACACACACACACACACACGTATCCTGAAGTAGCAGAGAAGTCTTCAGTTGAATCAACATGATTTTGTCTTTGGTGGATGGAGGAGAACTAGACTCTCATATCATGGGTCTGTGTCCGGAGCTAATTAAATTTAGCAAAGTCTGAAATGAAACCAAGGTCATGGAAAGTACAGAAAACACAGAGGAGGAAACAGATAACAGCATCTAAGTACAAAGAATACTTTCCTGGTTACGCCCAAATCCTCCAATGCCAAGCTGGCTGGCAAATGTGGGTCAGGCAGGACAGGGGGACATCTACGATCTCTCACACATCTGTGATCAAGGCTGCTTCCACCTAAGGTAACTGGGCCCCTGGGCACAACATAAACTTTGTTCATTTCCCATCAGCACAGGAGGGCCCTAGGGCCAGGTTGTTGGGGTCTTTTTACCACTCAAAACCCCCTTTACATCCCCAATACTCCCTCAAACATGCAGGCATCATCATCCTCACCACCATGATATTCTTCCTCTACATATTCTAAATCTCCCAATGGGCCCCCTTCGTGAACCCCCTGTGTAGGTTGCATAGGTCCCCAAAGATATCCACATCTTCATCTCTGGGATCTGGGAATATGACCTTATATGGGGGTAAAAAGGCTTTGCAGATGTGATCACATTAAGGATTTTGAGATGTAGAGATTATCCTGGGTTATCCAGGTGGGCTCTAAATGCTTTCACAAGTGTCTTTATAAGAGGAAGATTTAACACAGACAGAAAAGGAGTAGGCAATGTCATGAGAGAAGCAGAGATTGGAATGATGCAGCCACAAGTCACGGAATGCCTGGGGCCACCAGAAACTGGAAGAGGCAAGAAGGGATCCTCCCCCAGAGCCTTTGGAGGGAGTGTGTCCTACTGACACTTTGATATTAATTTCAGACTACTAAACTCCAGAATTGTGAGGGGATAAATTTCTGTTGGTTTAAAGCTTCCAAGACATGGTACTTTGCAACAGCGGCCCTAGGAGACCAATACATACTGTAAGAGGAAAGGTCAGCTTCCTCAGACCAGGAACTGATCAAGCTCTTAGTGTTAACTGAGTGCCTACATTGTTAAAGGCATGTCACTGTGCTGGATCCCAAGGCAACTGTGGCCTCCAGTCGCCAGAAGGAAGCCTAGGTCTCTGAGTCTCCAGGTAAGTGTTTCTCGGTTTCCTGTCTGGCACTGTGGGTGTTCTGGTCCCCAACTGCAAGGATATAATTCCTATTGGGTTTCCAGATATCACTCTATATCCTTCTACACATGCTTCACTCTCCACACTCACGGAATAAACCATTTGACCCTGCTGCCTGAGAAAACAGCCAAGGTCAAGGAAAAAAGTTAAGTCCTTCCCTTGATGGCAAGAAGACTTCCGAGGTGCCTTTTGCTTTGTTCATGTGTCTCAGCAACCTATGTATCAGCCCAGTGTGAATGTTTTATGTGCATTAATTTGTAATACTGACATATTAACATGCATGAGTTAATAACTACTTTATGAGGAAGGGATTAGGACTATCCCCACTTCACAGATGGGAAAATGGAGGCACAGAGTGGCTCAGTAATTTGACCAAAGTAGCAGCACTCCAAGCTGCAGAACTGGGATTTGAACCTAGCCATTCCAGGGTGGAGGGGAGAAGAAATTGAAGTTGCTAATGATATCATTCTTCTTGGATCAATAATCGTGGCTATGGAAGCAGCAGTCAAGAAATCAAAGGACATATTTCATTGGGAAAATCTGCTACAAAAGACCCCTTTAAAATTTGAAAAAGCAATGATGTCACTTTGAAGACTAAGGTACACCAAGACTAAGGTGATCCAAGCCGTGGTATTTTCGATCTCATGTGCATGTTTTAATTTTCTTCAGCTTCAATTTGAACTTGTATATGAGCAATTGATGGTCTGTTCCACAGTCAGCTCCTGACTAGTGACATTGAGCTTTTCCATTGTCTCTTTCCACAGATGTAGATGTAGTCTATTTTATTTCTGTGTATTCATTTCAGTGAGGTCCATGTGTACAGTTGTTGTTTATGTTGTTGAAAAAGATATTTCCTATAATGGGTCATTGGTTTTACAAAATTCTGTCATACACTACTGGTATCATTTCTGTCACAAAAGTCATTATTTTCCAACTACTGATCTTTTTTCTTTGTTTCCCCCTTTCCCATTCCAATCACCAGTAATTATCAATGTATCTTGATTGCATTGTTTGATCAATTTTAGATTGCAGCAGTTGGTAAAAATCTTCAGTTTCTTCATTTTTGGCATCAGTGTATTAACTCATATTCCTTGTGTGCATGTGGATATTATTCTATTACTGACAGCATTGTACTTCAGGATAGATCTTAAAAATGTTCTTTTTGATGATGAATGTGATGCCATTCCTTTTTAATCTGTCATTCCTTTCATAACAGACCATATGTTTATCTAGTATCAGTCTATTTCAGTTCACTAATGCCTAGAATATCAATCTTTATCAGTGCATTTCACTTTTTACAACTTCCAGTTTTCCTGGAGTCATACTTCAGATATTCCACATTCTGATTATTAATGGATGTTTTCAGCTGTTTCTTCTTATTTTGAGTAATTCATTGCTATGCCACTGGTATTTCAAATTCCAGCAGGCTCACCCTTGGTGGACAGGTTTCAGCAAAACTTCCAGTCTAGGAAAAAGGACATGAGGGTCTACTTCTGAAAAAAAGAAAAGAAAAAATGGCCACTTAAAGAAAACCTTATGAATAACAGTGGAACTTTGTCCTGTATAGTACCAGAAGATGAACTCCTCAGGTTAGAAGATACTCAAAATATGACTAGAGGAGAGCCGTCTCCTCAAAGTAGAGTCATCCTTAACGTCGTAGTTGGAGTAAAGCTTTTGGGACCTTCATTTGTTGATGCATGACTTAAAAGCATTAATCGTGACTTACATCTTATGGAATTTGAAAGCATTATAGAAACATACAGAACAGCCCTCTAGAATGGCCTCTGCATCACATCAGCCTGGGTAGAAGGCTGCCTGCCCAGTGGAATAAGAATGCCAAGACCTGGGAGCCTGGGAGGAGGGCTGGGCAGGTTCTCTACATCAACCCCACCCTGGCCCTGCCAGGGGGTGGCCTCTCCACAGGAAGGATACCATGGTCCCTAGCAGTCCACCTCCTTCACCTAGTAAGGCAGGAGGTACTGACTCAGCTGGGCCTCCTCCCACCCCAGACAGGACTCCAGGACAGGCTGCGAGCCAGCTGGCAGCCTTTCACATACCTGGGCCTCTCAGCACAGCCCTTCCCAGACCGGGTATCTGAGAACATGGGGTCAGAAAAGAGTGTCGAGTCTACTAAGCCTGGAGGAACTTAACAGGTTTCCTCCAGGCCACAGATTTCCTGTGGGCCTCTCAGAGTCTTTAATATGCTCATTTGCTGTGCCAGATGGCCTGCAACACCCTATAAAGGATCAGATAGCAAAGATAGGTGGGGGTACCCCAGGACTGGACTGGAGCACAGTGCCTGCCTGACTTCCTTTCTTTCCTTACTCTCGTTTATTCGTGTGTAAGCCATTGCAGAGGGTTTACTACACCCAGAGGTACCTCTGAACTCTTAACCAAGAGACAGGGGAGGAAGGAGTTAGGGTAGGGAAGTGGTGGGGAGGAAGAAAGGGAAGAGTAGAGGGAGGGAGAGGGCCTGGCACCGGCCTCACCCCCACCTGGAGCCTTGGACTGGCGACTCGTCCCCAGGTTAGGAAGGCTGGGAAGAGGGGCGGCAAGCAGGCTGGCTAGGCTGCGCAACGTACTGAGAGGCAGCACCGTGTCTCCCGCCGCCCCTACTGCAGCACCAGGCGGTCCCTCCACAAGCGCAGCTACCACCTGGGTTGGTCACGGTCTGGGGCGGGCGGAGGCGGTGCCGGCTGGGGGCGGGGCCCGGGAGGGGCGGCTGCGGAACAGCTTAAGGCTGTTCAAGTGCAAGTCACAGCAGTTAGAGGTTTCTCCCGACCCGAGATCTCCACAGCCCGAAGTCTCCAAGACCTCTGCTCCCCGACGGTTTCGGAAGGCAGAGGTCTCTGCGGCCGGAGATTCCCAGCAGTCGGAGATCCCCGGGGGTCAGAGGTGTCCCACGGCCCGAAGTCTCCGGCGGCCCGGGGTCTCCGCGCCCGCGGGGCCGCCCCACCATGCGGCTGAGAAGGTAAGCCTGCGGGCGGACGCGCTCTGGGGAGGAGTAGAGGCACAGTCACCGCGAGCGGGGTGTCCCAGCCAGAGGTGAGGCTGAAGACGCCCCGATGTCTGGCCGCGACTTGCGGCCCCACGTGTCCCTCAGCTCCCGGAGCTCGGAAGCGGATTTCCTAGCTCATCTGGCGGCGCGGAAGGACAGGCGCGGTGTTTGGAGCGGCCGGGCTGGGCAGGCACAGTTACCTGCCGGCCGGTGGTGCAGAGGGAGGGCCCAGCACCCCGCCAGACGCACTAACGACCCGGGACAGTGTGTGGATGTGCTTGGGGGACGGGGTGCCTGCGAAGGGAAGGAGCGAATGCTGGAAGAAGGGAAGCTTCAGCGCCCCGGCACCTTCCTGGCTGGGCACATTCACAGACCCGGCTTCCCTTCCCCACCCGGCGGTGGTGGAGCTTTCCCCTAAGAAAGACTTCTGAATGATGTGGCCGCGCTGTTCTGAGGTCGGTCGTTCTATAGAGATCCCCCAGGTTAGTGAGTGCCCACCATTTGGTGACGCGCCCCTTCCCCCACACACACATACCCGTGATCCCGTGATCCCCAACCCCATGAGTAGTTCCAAGCTGGAGAAGGTGGGACGTCCCACAGCCAGCCTCCTATTCACCTCTTGCCATTCTAAGGGAGGGGGTGACAGCTTTACTGACTAGCTTTTTGCCGAAAACTCCCTTCAGGCCACGGTGTCCTCCTTGGGTTGTAGCCTCCTTGGATTGGCAGCTTTGCCCCCTTGGGAATAGTTGAGACACTTTGTGCTCAGGTGTTCTGCCCATAGCTGGAGTGTCCCACACTTGGATCGCAGTGCCCACCCTCCCCGGTTAGAAATGCATTTATTTTAAGATCATTCCCTAAGAGAGGAAGAAAAGTCAAAGTCCTTGAACTGTTACAGTCACCAACCACCCACACCTGGAGCAGGTGTTTCCTCCTCTGACTCCAGGAGAACCAGGCTAGGACTGGGATGTAGAGTGACAAGGAATGCAGCCAGGGGTTAGGAGCATGAGTGGTCAGGTGGGTGGTGTTAGAAGGCAGAAGCTGGCCTGAGAGCAGAGTGTGGTGAGGGTACAAGGAGGGGTCCTGAGAGCTTGGTGGCAGCTGCACCCAGGGAGGGGACAAGAGTCCATAGCATGCACCACCACTCCATCACCCCATTCCCCAGGAAACTCGAAATGCTATGAGGAGGCCTGACAGGTGGGACTTGTCAGCACAGACTGGCCAGGGAGCCTTTAGAGATTGCCCAGGGGCCTTCAGTTGGGAGAGAAACAGAAGTCATGGAAGGGCACCTGCAGCTTTAGACTATAGAGGTTGGTCTGGCTCCCAGAGACAGGGGACTAGAGGGGTGAGTTGCTGGAGGACCTGAAACAGAGGAACTACCAGATTCAGTTTCATAACAATCACATTCCCTCACAGTGTTGTCCTGTAGTTCACCTGACCTTGCTGTTGGGCATTTTAGATGCTTGCTGTCTCTCAAAGTTTAAATGAGGCTGCTGCTATACGTGACTCCTGCTATCCTGATTACAACTGTTTCCTTGACCAGGCCACCAGGGGTCAAAGGCCCTGACCTTGATGGTGGCTCTCACACTCCCAAAATTGTCTTGGTTAGAAAAGATAGAAGTTTGGTGGAAAGATGCAGACTTTGTGGGTGATTTTGTTAATGCAGTAGTGACCCATTGCCAGGGCATCCAGCCCCTCAGGGTTTGCTGTACAGGGACGAAAGTGGGTGGTCCTGGCTCCTGTGTCTGAATTCTCAGTCATCTCGCAAACCGGGGCCTGGCTCACAGTAGATGTGTTCACATTGCTATGATGATATAACTGTTCTCCTGCTCACGAGAAGCAGGTAACTCACCTGTTGGCACTGTGTTTATCTCCTTTCTGTTTTTGGTTTTCTTTTTTAGTCCTGGGCTGCTCTTGCTGCTGCTCAGTGGCCTGCTAGCTGGTAAGTGCTCCTAGGGTACATTACTTTGGGAAGATGAATGTCTAAACCTTCAGCTGCTGATAGTGAGGAAGGATGGAGTGATGCAGACATTAGAGTTTCCTTGGCACAGCCCTTGCTCCAAACAAAAAAAAAAATAACCCAAAGCTGTTGCCCTTGAGCCAATTCCAGCTCATGGCAACCCCATGTGTTACAGGGTAGAGCTTTGATCTGTGGGGAAGCAGCTTGCCAGGCCTTTCTTCCATGGCGCCACTTGTAGTGAAGGGCAAAATTGAAAGCCACAAGGGGGCCCCTTTTCTCAACTGCATAGTTCTTGTTTCATGTTATATTTGGCAGAACTGGGATGCAGTTCCTCCTGTGGGTTTCAGTTCCTGTCCTTACCATATAGGCGAGGAACTTCAGTCCTCCAGTGCTTCTGTCTTTTCACTCTTCGCCCAATCAATTCTGTATAGTCCTGAAGGTCACTCAGTTTCTCTAAGAGCTGGGAGCAGGGATGTATCACCACAGCAGAGCCGCCCCTATTCCCCTAGGCCTTGCCAATTCATTTTTTTGTTGTTGTTGTAGTTGTTAAGAATGTACGTAATAAAAACGTACACCAATTCAGGCTTCTACATGTATATTTCAGTGATATTGATTACATTCTTTGAGATATACAACCATTCTCACCCTCCTTTTCTGAGTTGTTCCTCCCCCATTAATATAAACTCTGTGCCCCCTAAGGTTCCTATTTAATCTTTCAAGCTGCTGTTGTCAATATATCCCATATAGATGGCTCCTGAAAGAGCATAATACTCAAGGCAGTAAATGTCTGGATTTTTGAAAGCTTTTTATTTTGACTGAATTCTAGACACCAAGAAGTTGCAAAAGTTGTAGAGAGGTCCCATGTACCCATCGCCCAGCTTGTCCCAATGGTAGCCTCTTACATACTATATAGAGCATTATCAAAACCAGGAAATTGATATTAGACAACACAGTGAATTCATTTACAGTTAAATGTCTGAACTTTTAAAGTATTTTTGTACTCGTAAGTATATCATGGAGTTCCTATTGTTGTTGTTGTTATGTGCCCTGGAGTCAACCCGACTCATAGCAACCCCTCCTTGGGTTTCCGAGGCAGTATCACTATGGAAGTAGATTACCCAACCTTCCTTTGGAGGAGTGGCTGGTGGGTTTGAACTGCCAGCCTTCTGGTTAGCAGTCAAGTGCCTTAGGCACTAGGCCACCGGAGCTCCCAGGTGGAGCAAATGGTTAAACACGTGGCTGCTAACTGAACAGTTGAAGGTTCAAATCCACCTAGAGGTGCCTGAGAAAAAAGATCTTGTGATCTAAGATATCAGTCACTGAAAACCCTTGGAGCCCAGTTCTACTTTGACATACACGGGATTGCCATGAGCCAGAGTCTACTTGACAGCAACTGGTGGCGGTGAAGTAGACTTTATTGAAAAATTCCTTTTCTGCTTACATGAGTCAGACTTGGTATTTGAGGCTCTCAACCAAGAAGCCTGCCTAGTGTAATAACTTCACAGCCTCAGACCCTGACATGGAAAACTAACTTTGTCCTTTCTTAATTGTTGCAGATATTCAAAAGAAAGAAGTTCAAGGAATCGTGGGTAGCAGCGTCGAACTCAGCTGTATTTACCCTGAAGGAAGTAGTTTTGATTTAAATGACTCTTATGTTTATTGGCAAACCAGTATGCCAGAGACCGTAGTGACCTACTACCTCCCTGGGAATAGCTCCCCGGGCCACAAAGATAATCATTACCAGCATCGGGCCCAGATGTCACTAGACAGCATGAAGAGGGGCGACTTCTCTCTGCATTTACATAACATCACCCCCCAAGATGAGCAGACATTTCACTGCTTTGTGTTCAGGAAGTCCCTGGAATTTAAAGAGGTTTTGCATATTGTGGTCACACTGCACGTGGCAGGTAAGACCCTTGAAACCTAGAGAACTGATTTAATCCCAGACCTGCATCCTGGGGAATCCCTGAGTGGTGCAAACAGTGAATGCGCTGAGCTGCTTACTGGAAGGTTAGTGGTTCAGATTCACCCAGAAGCACCTTGGAAGAAAGGCCTAGTGATCTACTTGTGAAAAATTACCATTGAAAACCCTTGGAGCCTGGTTTTACGGTGATGCAATATGGAGTCTCTGTGATTCAAAGTAGACTTGATGGCAACTGCGTTTTTTTTTTTTTCCCCTTTACATCCTAGAAAAATTACTAATAATTAATTCAACTTTATGAATTACTTACCATCTAAAAACTCTTGTCCTAATTATCAATTAATAATTGTATTAATTAAATGAATCTTCCTGGCTTGTTCATCTGTTTGGTTCCTGTAAAGAGAATCCTAATCTCGAATAACAGGCTTCTGCTTAACCACGTAAGGAGCTCTGGTGGCATAGTGCCTAAGGCATTTGACTGCTAACCAGAAAGTTGGCAGTTCAAACCCACCAGCCTTCTGTGGAAGGAAGACTGGGCAATCTACTTCAGTAAAGATTTACTGCCTCAGAAACCCAAAGAGGATTACTATGAGTTAGAATCAATTCAGTGGCATTGAGTTTAGTTTTTTTTTTTTTTTTTTGCTTAACCACATGTGAAGCTGAATTGGTTGAAAAAAAATCATTCCACCATAAGAAACATTCACATAAGCTGAGGTTCCCTGATTTTACAAAAGAGCTCCTGATCACTTTGTCTTTCCCTTGAACTCTCTAGCTCAACTCAAACTATATTTTTTATGAAATTGGGAGGGACTGCTGTGAAACACTGAATGAGTTTAGAATTTAGGGCAAAATTGAAATCCACTAAAAAGCTAAGGGCACAACTTTTTGGGGAGACGGGTCATGCCCATTTCAGATGGACCACAAGCTCTCCATAGCATCAGTGAGAAGGACTAAATTTTAGAGAGGCCTGGAGAAGCAGACCTCCATGGAGCCGAGGCTGTGGATGATGGTATAGGCTACCTGTGCTCATTAGCTCCCCCATTAAAGGGTGAGTGGAGGGTGACTTGGTCATAGCAGGGTCTGCGCTTCTCAGACATGGCCCTGGCCTCACTTCCTATCAAGTTCATGGGTACTGCGGGCCGCCCCTTCATGCCCAGGCCCTGGGAATGATGTACCTTCTATTTTATGACTCTCAAATGCTGCCATCTCTTACCTCTCTTTCTTTCCCCTGCAGCCAACTATAGCATGCCTGTTGTTAGCAGCCCCAGTGGCCCCTCCCAGGATGAGGAGCTCACTTTCACGTGCATATCCACAAATGGCTACCCGAGACCCAATGTGTACTGGATCAACCGCACAGACAACAGCCTTCTGGACAAGGCACTGCAGAACAACACAGTGTCCGTGAATGAGCGTGGCTTGTATGATGTGGTCAGCATCCTGAGGGTGCAGTGGGCCCCAAATGTGAATGTCCAGTGCTGCATAGAGAACGTGCTTCTGCACCAAAACCTCACTGTCGGCAACCAGATTGATGAGGCTTCAGGTTTGCACTTGACCCCAGACAAAGGTAGTGGGCCAGTGGGAGTTTGGGTGGGATCTCAGGCAGAGGCACAGTCCCTGCAAGGTGACCTGGCACAGCATCAGGAAGATGGCTGTGAGGGAGAGAAAGGAAGGGCCAAGCAAAGACACGATATGAAAAGTACTACTCTTTCTGAAGGCGTACATGGGGCTGTTGTTGTTAGGTGCCATCAAGTTGGCCCCGTCTCATAGTGACCTTATGTACAACAGAATGAAACACTGCTCGGTACTGTGCCAGCTTCACAATCCTTACTGTACCTGAGCCCATCACTGCAGTCAATCAGTGGCCATTGAGTCAACTCTGACCCCTGGTACCCCCTGTGTGTCAGAGTAGAACAGTGATCCAGAGGGTTTTTGGAAACTGATCGCCAGGCCTTTCTTCCAAGGCACCTCTGGGCAGACTTGAACTGCCAACTTTATAGTCAGCAGCTCCACTTGTTCACTGTTTGCACCACCCAGGGTCTCCTAGCTACTCAATACACTTAATCTCCCCTGTAACCTCATGAAGTTAGTTTTGTTAAGCCCATTGTACAGATGAGGGACTGAGGCTTTACAAGATTATGTAAACTTTGAGAAGCCACAGGACTAAGTAGTGGCAGTGTTGGGATTGAAGCCTCACTCAAGCCCTTTGCCATTAGACATGTGCCCTTAAGAAGCCAAAGCCCCCAAGTTGCTGGCCCAGGTCCTCCCCATGCAAGGCTGTAGGCCACGGCCCTCCCAATCTATGTGTGTGTGATACACGTGCTAAGATGAGGGGTGGAAGGAGGAGGCAAGAACTTTTTTTGAGGATGGTCTGCTGCCAGCAGGGTCCAGTGCAGAAAGAAAATGCAGGGACCCATGTTCACCAATTATTAAGAATTTCAAGATAGCATGGGGCCCTGTGTGACGGTGCCCTTGACTGCTAGGAATCTCTGCAAGAAAAGAAAACCCTCCTTTCCAAAACCAGGAGTCCTGAATTCCTCTAACCCAAAGCTCATGGTCTCTGAGCCCATGTACATGACTAGGAAAGAACTGCCCCAGAAAGCCTGCCTTTGAACGCTGCGTTCAAGCCCGCATTGGAGGGTGAACCTGGAAGGCTCATCCAGAGCAGCAGTTCTCTCAGGCTGCACACTGGGGTCACCTGGGCAGCTTGTAGACGCCCCCAGGCCCAGGCCTTGCCTTGGACCCATCTAATCAGAACCTCTGGGCAGACCCCTGATCAGAACCGTTTTAAAGAGCTCTCAGAGGGTTCTGAGGGGCATCCAAGGTCGAACCCCTGCTAATGGGTATAGGGTTTTCTTTTGGAAATGTTTTGGAATTAGATACAGGTGGTAGTTTTACAACATTGTGAAGGTACTAAATGCCACTGAAGTGTATTAAAATAGCTGATTCTATGTTCTATGGATTTCACCTCAGCTAAAAACAAAAGACAGAGGAAGCTGTGTTTCTAGCCAAGCTGCTCAGTGTAGACCTGAGGAAAGGGCTGGTAAAACCATCTCCAGGAATTAGAGGTGACAGATGTAAGAAGGGGAGGAGGAGGCCCCAGGAGGGGAGGCTGCTCCACTGTTAGAGATGGCCCTTCTCTTAGTCAGAGTGCATTGTACAAATCACAGAATCATGTCAGCCCAGTTCTTTGGAATAAGTTCTTCCCTATAGTACTATCTTCTTAAGGATGAAAAAAGACTGTTTCCTCCTTGCAATTTAATCTTGGGTTGTTTTTCTCTTTCTTGTAGAAACTTCCTCTAGAACCAAAGAAAAGATCACAGATAATCCAGGCAGGCCTGAGGAGAAAAATAATATAGCCATTTTTATCACCTTTGGAATCCTGGCCATTATTGCAGCTATAGCTACTGGCTGGTTTTGTAGAAACAGATGTTCCCGTGGAAGCTACACAGGTATCAGACAAGACCAGTGGTGTAGAGACTCTACTTATTTTGTTGGTGTGGGCATTTTGCTTTTAATGTTCCTAACTCTGAAAGATGCTACTTTCATTTGAGATTTACTTTTAACAACAGTCACATTCATTAGGGTTAGCAACTTAAACACTCCAAGAAAGTGGATTTGAAGCTCATACGTCTGAGGCCCTACGTTGCCAATGCACTCACACCCAAACGCAGCACAATTAGTCCAGTCTTCTGGATTCTGAGTGGGAGTGATGAGTTTGAGATTTCAAGGTCACAACAGAGTTCGCTTCTGAAAAAGCTGACTCAGCCTACCTTAAATCATTGGCATGGCTGTCCATCTGTAATTCTGGCCAACCTCCAAGATAGATCTAGAAAGTATGTATGTTAACCATAGAAAATCCAGTAACAGAATGTGCAGTAGAAGCATCCCAGGGCACAGACTACAGTGTTGGTGCCGTTGATCAACATCAGCCCTGGCTCAAGAAGCCTACAGGGCTGGCCATGCCCAGCTTACACATCAGGGGGCATAGGGTAGTCTTCCTAGGTCAGAAGGCATCCTCAAGGATCTGAATGATGAGGTCAGGGCTCTTCCCAGATACTCTTAGGAGGGTGGGGGAAAAGAGAAAACAAAAAACAGTTCCCAGTGAGTCAACGCTGACTCATGATGACCCATAAGTGTCAGAGTAGAATTGTGCTCTATAGAGTTTTCAGTGGCTGGTTTTTCAGAAATAGATCACCAGGATTTTCTTCCAAGGCAACTCTGGGTGGATTTGAATTGCCAGCTTTTCAGTTACCAGCTGACTGCTTAATCATTTATGCTACCCATGTTAAGCTATCAGTATAAAATAGACCAAGAAGACTAAACTAACGGCCATCAAGTTGACCTGTACTCATGGTGACCCCATATGTATCAGAGTAGAACTGTGTCCATAGCATTTTCAGTGGCTGTTTTTTTCAGAAGTAGATTGCCAGGCCTTTCTTCTGAGATGCTGCTAGGTGGACTCGGAACTGCCAGTCCTTCAGTTATCAGCTGACCATCTGCAGCACCCAGGGACTCCTCAGGACAAAGGAAACACTGTTTAAATGAAACTCAGTCACCCCTTGTGTTCTGGTTACCTAGTACTGCTCTAACAGAAATACCACAAATGGGATGGCCTTAACAATCAGGAACTTATTCTTACAGTTTTGGAGGCTTTAAGTCCGAGTTCAAAGTGCCAGGGTGTAGGAGTTGGGTGAAGGCCCCTCAACCTTGGGCTTCAGCTCTACCTCCCAGTCCCAGCCCACTGAAGCTGGAGGCTTTTCTTCACTCAGATAACTGCCGGCTGCTGAGACTGACAAGCCCAAGGTTGACAAGTAAAAAGGCACAGTCCCAAACTATATGACAGGCCATTCATTCAAGTCCATTGAAAGTCCCAAGGTCGACAGAGCATGGCAGGCTACTGAACAACATGGCTACATGCAGGGTTCAAGCATGCCATAAGCTAGAGACCATTGCCAAAGTTGTTTCTTATATACGGGAAGCAGACCACATCCCTAAAGCAGCTACTCAGCTGCTTGTGGTAGATCCCACCATGGAGTTGATTGTCAGGCTCATCATGGGGAATAACTACCACCAGCTGCTCAGCCACTCAACTAGACCCAGCCAAGTTGACACACAAACGTAACCACCACACCTTGATTACAGAGGTGGCTTGGAGCTGGACATCCTTTCCTGTCCTGCTCCTATGTGCTGCTGTTAAGTTTCCAGCCTCAGGTTTGTTAGCATTCCAGATATCCCCAGAAACAATTTTCTTAGGGCATAGCCTGCATTGCTGATCTGGTGAGCCTGGAAGGGTGTTCTGAGTCCAGGGAATGAAGAATCTTAAAAAAAAACAGAGAACCTGTGCACTTGCACTTTAAAAATCATCTTCCTCAAAAAGGAAAGTTCTGGAAGGTCCAGGCCAAGTCAGGTGCTTAGGAGGCTGGTGCATCCACCCAAAGCCCTTGCACGAAAGATTTTAACATGTTCCTTTCTAAAGTGACAGAGCATTTAGTGACATACGTAACCCAAAGTTTGCTTTGAAGTGGATTCCTCTTATTTATTTCTTGCTGCCTTATTTCTGAGGACTTTGGGCAGCGTACACAGATACAAACAGTGCAAGATGAGAGAGGCAAGTGAGGGAGTTGGGGTTCAGGGAGCATACGAACACTTAAGGATGGAGAATGGTAAGATGGCCCTAGGGGCCTCTCATCTGTCTGTCTCTGCCTCACACAGGGAGCCATGGGAGGGGAGAGTTGCTGCTCCTGCCCCCTGGAGTGCTGCATGGCTTTGGGGAACTCAGGACCCTGGGGGATTCAGCACCCTCCCTCCCCTGCCCTCTGCTGCTGCCCTAACATCTATGGCTTGCTTCAACAGGTTCCCAGGGTGTCCGGCCAGAGCTTGAGCTTACGGGTAAGTATGCAGAGAGGGCGTTTCCAACTTATTCCCTTGGGCACGGGACTGTGTTCTTTTATACCTTTTCTGACATTTTATGACGGAATTTTCCAAACTTCTACATAAGCAGAGAAGACTCCTGTGATGAGCCCCCAGACACCCTCCCCCCTACCCTTGTTTCAACCGCTGTCAACATAAGCCTGGCATTGTCCTCTTGCATCCCCTTTTTCCACTCCCACCCCTACTCCTCCACTACCCCCAATTACCACCCTGACTTTCCCACTCGCCACCACCCCCACTTCCACCCACCTTCCTACTCACCCACTGGAATATCTAATCCACATCTTTCTGGTCTGTAACAGGACAGTTGTCTGTCAGATTCAATGGTGGTTTTGTGTTTTCTGGGGGAGGTGAGTGCCTAAGTTCCACAGGCACAGAGGGAGTTGTGGATTTCCATTCCAATAGGAGAATATTCACCCAGATCCCAGCACCCAACTAGCAGGACCTCAAGCTATGAGGGTGGGGGCTTTGCAGACAGGCCTGCCTGGGCTCAGAGCCTTTGGCACACTGCCGCCCCTCTCTGAGCCCAGTTGTTCCCTACAGAAAGGGGTCTGTTGGGGAGGGTGTGGCCTGGTGTGTCCAGCCTTGCTCAAGGTGCATGGAACACCCACTCCCAGATGGTGCTTGCTCACTGACACAGGGGAGGCATGGGCCACTTGGCTCACATTGCTCTGTTTCTGAAAGAGGTGCCTGCCAAAGGCCTAGGCAAGCCAAGTTCAGATAACTCGTGGAACACAACTTGCCAAGAAATTAGGGCCTGCCTGTTCTTAATCAGGGTAAAATGAAACAAGCTGTTTGCAGGCAGCTGTGAACAGAGACCCTCCTTACCAAGGCACTGTGTTTTCGTGGTTTTGTGTCCTGAGTAGGTAACAGGGAGAGGGCACCAGCATCTCACCTCCTCTCCTTCCTTCCTAGGCCATGTTTGACAGGAGCCCACGCCTGATGTGGTGAGGGGCTATGAGGAGATGGCCCCAGGCCAGACTTCACACAGCAGCTGGGGAAAGTGTCCCTTTGTGAAACTCAGGGCAGTGACTCCGACAGGCTTGCCCTATCGACATCATTTACAGGGACAAGGAGGCTCCTCAACCTGAGGGGACACACAGGGCCTCCCTCAACAAGATCATGACCAGACCCAGAAGAACATGCAGACATCACTACTGAGCGAGGCCCTTTCAGAAGGTCAGCAGGTCAGAGCAGGAGTGTCTCCAAGTGGGTGGGCTTCCTGCCATTGTGGCCAGACATAGAATGAGACAGGGCCTCATGACTGTTGCCTCTGTACTGTGGAGTATGTGTGACTCTTGAGATCTGCACCGGAGACTCGCATCTCTGTTGGGACATGGCTCCATAGCTAGAAGAAAGGAGCTGGTTTGCAAAACTGAGCAGGATGCCCAAGTCTTTCCTGGATGCATCTGGGAAATGGAGGTTGTGCTGGGCAGGAACCACTCAGGGATTTGTAGGAGACACAGGCTATGTGGGTCTGTGCACCTCTGCCTACAAACTCCCACCACGTCCTCCACCCTGAAGCTACAGGTGTATGTCTTTGTGTGTGTATGTCTGTATGCACATGTATGTGTGTCTACATGTGGCTTGTTTTCAAGGTCAGTTACATTTGTGTGTCTGTGCATGTGTGTGTCCACATTGGAGTGGGTGCATATATGCTTGTCTCTCTGTGTATGTATGTATCTGTATGTGTGTATGTATGTGTGCACATGAGTGTGTATGTGCCCATGAATTTAGTAAATGACCTTGAGTGAAGAACCTCTTGGAGATTCCTCTGGATTTTATCCTTCTCTGAGATACTTACTGGGAAGAAAAGTTGGCCTGATTCATTTTGGTCAAAACTGCTTTCTCTCCTAGAAATGCACACAAGGGATTTTGTGAGAGGAAGGTCTGCTTTGAGGCAGGTGCACACCAGGACACAGTGTTTCCCAGGGTTCTGTGGCCAGGAAAGGACATGCACCCCAGAGGCCATGCAATATCTCAGCCATGGTAGGACTGAACACATGCATTTCCAGTCACATAAGATTGACATGTGACCATGGCAGGGCACCAGAGTGGGCATTCCTTGTGGTGGGGGTGCACATCGTGCTGACCATGGTGTCTCATCAGATCCTGCCAGACGGGATTGGTTGCTCACCTCTGCCACCCTCTGCATTAGTCACCCATGGCTGCCCAACTCCCCAGCATCCTACCCAGCCTCCATGACCTGTTCTGCCTTCCAGGCCTATAATGAAGACCTCCAGCTCTAATGCCAGGTTCCTTGGAAGTGAGGACCCCACAAATGTTAGGAGCTTGGCCGTGACCTAAGTCCACAAGGAGGACCTGACCTCCCAGGCAGTTTCCATGTTGTTACTAGAAAACTTTAAGAAGAAAGTTCTAGAAAGGAGGTCATCCAGGTAGCCCAGGTGTGCAAACCCTCCTGAAAGACAGTGCTTGGCGGTCTGGCCTCCCTGTCTGCTTGGAGTTGTACGTAAACACCCTTCTTTGCCTTCCTGCTCAGGCTTCCCCTGGTGGCCCTGGAGCTCAGTCAGAGGTGTTACATCCATGGTCAGTCAGTGCTGATGTTGTAGGAGGCCTGCAAGCCTCAGATCCAGATTTGGACCAAAACTGAGGAGTAGGGGTCCATGGTCAAGGGGAGAGTTCCAAAACTTGTAACAAGAAGTCACTTAGCCATATATTTTTGAATCATAAAATCCTCACACTGGCTTTTAAACGAGCAGGGATCTTCACAGAAATTTAAACAGGAAAGCATAAGAAGATGCATGTTGTTCTGGAAAGAACAATGGGAAAGTCATTCATTGACATCTGGAACAAAGAGGCATGAGGGGCTGCTGGGCCAAACAGAAATGGAATGTGATGCCATCCACACAGTCAAGGGAGCTGACTGGGCTCCCTGGGAAGCTGCGCCTGCCCGGGAGTCCCCCAGATCCTGGAACCAAAGGCACATCACCATCCTTCAGACTTTCCCTGCCTGGGCCTCAGCAGACTTTGGAACCTGGACCCTCATACACACCAGGTGGTGGCAGATAGGTGGGAAGATTGAGTCAGGTTCCAGCTTTCCAATCAAACCATTGCCCTTCATTAGGGAAGCGGGGCAAAGGTCTCCAGCCTGGCTCAGCCCGAATGCACTGGGCCTGCAGAAGCCCTTCACTAAGCTCCCCAGCTTAATGACTGGGGACTCCTACTTCTATCCAGCCCCTCCCACTCCCAGAGCTCAGGCTGTCACCACAGCTCTTGGTGGGTTCTGCCTGGATCTGAGCTCACAGGAGGCCTTTGCTCTAGTGGTTCAATACTGAGTCATCACCCCCCACACACACTGGTTCTGGAGTAGGGGTTTACATATCTTGACTGCTCTACCTGGCCACAGAATGGGAGAATTTCCAGAAGACATGAAGTTGCTCTAGTGGGGTGGCTCATTGCTGTGGTCTGTTTAAGACTGGCTCTGCCTTGGTGAAGTCCACAGCTACTCATTTGTGAGGTCCCACTGTTGCTGTTTGGTCTCCACGGTGGGTTGTACACAGGCCCAGTCCCAATGTTTTGACAAGCATCTCTGTTCCAAAGCCAGATTTGAGAGAATACAGATGTGAATCATGCTGTGTCTGGCAGCTTGTGTATGTACTACGTATCCTCAGCATAAGCCCTGCTCTCTCTCCATCCTGGGGACAGCAGCGTTCTCTTTGCTGCTGCTTCTGGGCCTCTGCTTCTACATTAGAAGTTCTCACCCAAGGGCATATCTTTCCCCAAAGGGTCATTGGGCATGTCTGAAGACATTTTTGACTGCCACGCTTGGAGGTATACTGGCATCTGATGGGTGGAGGCCAGCCATGTTGCTCAGTGTCCTACAGTGCAAAGGATACCCTCACCACAAAGACTGATCCAGGCCCAAGTGTCAGTGCCAAGTTTGAAAATCCCTGTCCTCCATGGTCACTCCACATTTGAGGGAAGAGCTGCAGTGGGACTCGAGGAAACACCGCCAGTCCTGAGGTCTCCACTCAGTGGCTGACTGAGCTCATCGTGGGTACCTGTGCATGGCTGTTTGTGGCTGGGAGAGAGTGACTCATTCTAACAGGTCCAGGCCCGGGTACTCTGCTAGGTCAAAGGTTGACAGTCTTCCACCTAGACTACCCCTCAGAAGGTCAGGCACCAAGGCTTCCCATACCACAGTGCTCAGAGCTGGGTGGATGCACAGAGCACCACTGGGGGCAGGGGCACCATCCCCACCCACCCTATGCCCTTAGTCTTTCTACTGAGGTATCTGTGGCTCCTGCCCATATTAGGTGTGCAAGAAACTGCCATCAAGTGAGGTTCAGTTAAAAGCTAGTGTCTTAGTCTCCTTGTACTGCTGTAACAGAAATACCACAAGTGGCTTAGAAGAACAGAAATTTGTCTCACAGTTCAGGAGACCAGAAATCAATTTAGGGCAATGATCCAGGGGGAGGTCCTTCCTTGGGCTTCCTGGTCTTGTAGATGCATCTGTCATGAGTGTCTGTCTTCACAGTGCCTTGTGTGTGTGTCTGTTTCTTCTCTGTTCTTTTTATAACTTAGAAATGATTAGATTTAAGACCCACCCTACTCTAGTGTGACCATATTGACATAAAAGAAAAACCCTATTTCCAAACAAGATCTATTCACAGTAGAGGGTCTAGACTTTAATACATATTCTGAGGTGATACAATTCAATCTACAACAGCTGGTAGGTGGGATGGTTCATCACTAGGGGAGGGGGAACAGATAGGAAATAGCTAGCTGCACCTGTGCATGACTCTTCTCTACATTTCAGTTAAAAGGCTCTGTCTGCTGGCCCTTGCAACCTGGACACTCAATGGCTGGGCCCATTTGTCCCTGGGGAAGGCAGTGTGGCATTGGGATGGCTGTCCAAGCTGGGATGCCTCTAGAATAAAGACAGCAGCCACACTCTATGGTGGCCTGACACGGTACCAGAACATAGTTGGTGTTTCCATTCTGGTCTTCCCTGGGACCCTGCTGTGTGGAGCCAGAGTGATCCAAGTTCCCAGACTTCAGCAACTCATCTCTTATTCATCTCCCTCTCAGCCAAATCTTCAGAAAGAAGTCACCCTAATGAGGACCCCAAAACCAAACCTATTGCCCTCAAATCAAATTCTGACTCAAAGCAACCCATAGAACAGAGTAGAATTACCCCATAGGGTTTCCAAGGCTGTGATCTTTACACATTTTTCTCCATGAAGTGGCTGGTGGGTTCAAACTGTTGACTTATAGGTTAGAAGCTGAGCTCTTAACCACTGCATCATCAGGGCTTCTTGACAAAAGGGCAGCTCTTTTATTTGATCTGGGAATAATTTGGTCCCTAGAGCATCATCTCCATACTGTGCTATCTATCTAACATATATATATGCATACATACTTATGGAGAGAGAGAAAAATTTATCTCAGGGAAATGGTTCATGGAGTTGTAGAGCTTGGCAAGTCCCAAGGGTCAGACATCAAGCTGGAGGCTTCTCTTGACTCATGCAGCTGCAGGGGTTAACAAACCCAAGACTGAGAGGCAGTACAGCAGGCTGCAGGAGCTCTGGTAGCATAGTGCCTAAGGCAGTTGACTGCTAACCAGAAGGCTGGCAGTTCAAACCCACCAGTCACTCCTCGGAAGGAAGGTTGGGCAATCTATTTCCATAGTGATACTGCCTTGGCAACCCAAGGAGGGGTCGCTATGAGTCAGGTCCAACTCAACGGCATATAACAACAACAACAGCAGCAGGCTGCTGGCTTCAGAGGCTGAGAAATCCAAGATTGGTAGGTACAATAGTAGGCTGTTGGTTCACAGGCTGTGAAGGCAACAATCCCCAAATCAGAGGCAGTACAGCAGGCCACTGGTTCAAGTCCATGACCTGGAGATGATGAGCCAGATGCAGGATCCAAATCCAGCAGAAAGCCAGAGATCTTTGCCAGGACATCCATGTATATTGGAAGCAGGCTACACCCCTGAGGAAACTCCCTTTCAACTAATTGGTGCTCATAGTAGGTATCATCATAGAGGTGATTACATTATATCAGATCTCGTCATGGGAGATAGCTACATCATAACTGCTAAACCACTGAGAATCATGGCCCAGACAAGTTGACACACAATCTCAACCATCACATACCTTGAAGCCATTGGAGAAAAATAAGGTTCCAGGAATTGATGGAATACCAATGGAGATGTTTTGACAAACAGTTGCAACATTGGACACTCTCACTCACCTATGCCAAGAAATCTGGAAGGCAGCTACCTGTCCAACCAACTGGAAGAGATCCATATTTTTGCCCATTCCAAAGAAAGGTAATCCAGCAGAATGAAGAAATTATTGAACAATGTCATTAATATTACACACAAGTAAAATTTTATTGAAGATAATCCAAAAGTCGTGTAGCAGTACCTCAACAAGGAACTGCTAGAAATTAAAGCTGGATTCAGAAGAGGATGGGGAATGAGGATATCATTGCTGATGTCAGATGGATCTTGGCCAAAAGCAGAGAATAGTAGAAAGATGTTTACCTATGTTTTATCGACTATGCAAAAGCATTTGACTGTATGGATCATAACAAATTATGGATAACATTGCAAAGAATGAGAATTCCAGAACACTTGATTGTGCTCATGAGGAACTTGTCCATAGACCAATAGGCAGTTGTTCAGACAGAACAAAGGGGTGGTGCATGGTTTGAAACGAGGAAAGGTGAGTGTCAGGGTTGTATCCTTTCACCATACTTATTCAATCTGTATGCTGAGCTAATAATCCAAGAAGCTAGACTCAATGAAGAATGCAGCATCAGGACTGAACAAAGACTTACTAACAACGTGTGATATGCAAATCACACAACCTGCCTTGCTGAGAGTGAAGAGGACTTGAAGCACTTGCTGATGAAAATCAAAGACTACAGCCTTCAATATAGACTACACCTCAACATAAAGAAAACAAAAATCCTCACAACTGGACCAATCAGCAACATCATGATAAATGGAGAAAATATTGAAATTGTCAAGGATTTAGTTTTACTTGGAAGCAGCAGTCAAGAAATAAAATAATGTATTGCACTGGGCAAATCTCTGCAAAAGACCTCTTTAAAGTGTTCAAAAGCAAAGATGTCACTTTGAGGGCTAAAGTGTGCCTGACCCAAGCTATGGTATTTTCAGTCACCTCATAGGCATGTGAAAGCTGGACAAGGAATAAAGAAGACCTAAGAAGAACTGATGAATTTGAATTACAGTGTTGGAGAAGAATACTGCATA